TTTTATTCAATATTCCCTTAAAATATTTCTTGATTCTAAAACAAGTTAGCAACTAGCGTCTTCTCAGCCTATTATCTATTTCCATTATCTATCAACCTTTACTATGGCAGTGGGTGTTAAAGAAAGTAAAAATCACTGCTTTCCTTGTTCAGCAGCCATCGTGTTATTATAAATCGTGTTAGTTTTGCTAATCAGAGCTTGAACAATCGTTTTGCAGCTCTCTGACCCACATGCTAAATGCTCCATTACGCTTGTTGGAACAGTTTATTATAAATTATTCCATAAATTCATAATAAATTCAGTAAAAGTACCGGAAAAAGTTTAGAAATTTAGAAAAAAGTGAACGGGGGGAAAGGGACACATAAGAGATAATAATGTAGGCAGTCTAAGGACTTTTGGCCCAACTATTTTATAAGAAGACTAGCTGGCCTGGCAAACGTTGTTTTGCTAAGTAAGGTATATTCTAAACAATTTCTAGAGAATCAAAAAAATTAATACTTTAAGTGTATTAGGGTGTGTTGCTTGAATGCTATATACAATGAGGTTTTATAAAAACAATAAACCCCATTAGTTTGTCTATATTTTGTCAATACAATCAAACTGGAAGTTTTATACACTTTCTATAGAAAACATGGTATAATCCAATCCAAGTCATTTGTGGTCTTTCGACTTATTGATTACGTTTCAAGTCTTTCAGATTCTTTTTGGATTCTGCATTTTGTGTATAATTGTAAATAATACTACTGAGCTTATACAATTTTTTCAAATTTCTGCGAGGAGAGATAAAAAATGAATTAAGTATTTCTTTTTTGACCTGCTTTTTGAAAAGTTTCAAGTAACATTCGATGAATTAAAGTAAATTTAATAAAAAGTATATATGTAGAGCAGGGCGAGGCACAAAGGTCCAATTTGACTCTGAGCAAATATTATTTATATCATAAAAATCAAACCAATTATATCACAACAAATAACACATTTCAAACGAACAATTATCTGACTACGTTCAGTAAAACTGTCAGCTACTTCATCATTGTAGAAATGTGCTTTTTTGATGTCTTTCAAAAATTTGTTATCTAGATCTTTTACCCTATAGGCGAGGTAACTTGGAACGGCTACGTGGCAAACAGGTTTAAAGTCTTATTTTAATTTTAAATGTATTTTACAAAATAATTACATTTTTAACTAATGCTAAAAAACTACCAACGGAAGAAAATACTTTTATTATGGATTTTCAAAGATTAACCGTTTATCTCCCAATAGCAAAGTCATGAGAATCAAGGTTATATCTGGTTATACATCTTTTTCCCTCTACTTTTAAATATTGTTGTTAAACAATGCTTAACTTTACTAGTTTTTGACATATCGGTGGTGAACCTTTTTAACCCCGGACTTTCATATATTACTATCTATTTTACTATAAATTCTGGGAAATTATAACTGGAAAAATCTTATTCGACAAAATGCCTATTTGATCGAAACCAAATTTAGGTTCTGAAGTGAAATAACATAAATAAAAAATAATATAACCTAGAAAATGTTTTATAAATACCAATTAGTATACAATTATACAAATGAGATCTTTCAAACCACCGTGTTTGAGAAAATTATGCCGAAAAGTGCATTTTTATATTAACATTTCGAAAATGTTGATATTTTGAGTCTCTAGTAACACTTGCGGCCTGTTTACTAACGTTTTTGTATATAAATAAAACGACAAACAAAACTACTTACTACAATTTAATAATAATTAAATAATATTCACGTTTGTATTAAATAAACGTAACTGAACATCATGTGTCAAAAACGTTTGACATTTGACGTATTAGCCACCGTCCATTGTTTTATTCAAATTACGCTTCTACAAAAATGTTCAAACTAAAATTGTAAAGTTTCTACGCGATTTTGAAATAATATCTCACCTTTCCGACAACCTACTGATTAGCACGAATTTTTCAAGACTAAGACTGGCCAAATCGGTTTAGCCGTTTTCGAGTTTTACCGAATCATTTGATCGAGAGCTCCATTTTTATACATAAGATAAGCTAAATAAATTTAACAGGCGATTTGGAAATTTTGGTCAACAAAAACTGACTATTCATTTCCCACAATGTATGCATCTTTTACGAGTCCAGCAATTTTATTGGATGACATTTATCAATTTATTATTTAGTTCGACGTCATCCACTTAATGTTCCATTGTCATCAGTCACCTTGGTCGTTAAATTTGCTATTTGTAATTTATGCAACATTAATAATTATCTGTGTAATCGATTATAAACAAATTTTATGGTAGGCAGACATAATGGAGTTTGTTTATTGAAAATGCCAAAATGTTGACACAAAATGTCAATTGTTGTGGTTAATTGTTGATTGACGTTTTGGATGGACAATGGGTGAGATTTGAAGATATTGTGGTTTGATTGAAATGTTTACTAGTCAAGGACAAATAGAGAATTGAATTGTTGATATCAATTGTAATTATTTTGCTAAAAGTTATTATTATTATTATTGGTGCTCCTCATTTTTTCCTTAGTTTCCAAGGGCACTTCTATTTTTTTCCATGACATCCTGCAGAAAACAGAAGTGTCTTTTTCAAGTTTGTCTTTCTATTTTTCATCCGTCATTTTATTTTTTGTATTTTTTAACTTTCCTTAGGGTAAGTTATAGTAATCGCAAAAAAATCGAAAATGAAATGTTTTGAATATCTTTACGTTTCAGAGGTTTCTGAACCTTTTGGCATACCTTATAAAAATTGATTTTTGTCGACGATTTTGGGAACATGGGTCAACCGATTTGAATAATTCAAAAAAAAAACATTCGATATTTCAGCCGTTACAGAGACCGAGTAAAAAAAAGTGAAAAAACGCCATTTGGCAGTCAAAAATTATCCTTAGGCATATGGGCATCAACTTTTATCAGATATTTTATAAAGATTTTAATTTTAGTATGAATTTTGTTTACATTTCTAAGACGTTAGACTGCGATACGGCGCTTACGCGCTTCAATATTTCTTCTCTAAAACAACCACGCAGCACGATTTCTTTGAAAACTAGTGGTGTAAGGCATCGTGCTTTAAGGCAAATTGCTGAAACTTTCCCCACCAAAAATTAAATTCTATAAAAATAATTTTTTTTTAAACTTTGAAAAAATCTGATTTTTGAAATTAGTAATTTAGAATTTTTGAAAAAAAATTGACTTAAAAAAAAAACTGTTAAAAATGAAACCATTTTTTATATTCTGAAATATTTTGGAAATTTTGTACTTTTCTTTTCAAAACAGTCGCGCTAAAAAATTGAAAATATTGAAGGGCATTTTTTGTAATTTTTACTTTTATTAATGGATCTCCGAAACCGCTAGACCTGCCTTTCCAAAAATTCAATCAGTTCAATGAGTTTTTTATCTTGTCAATACAAGTAAAATGTTTTTTGAATTATTAAAATCGGACGCTTCGTTCTCTTAAAAATTGAGTTACTGCTTTTGGCACTTTTTGTCCTGTACCTCCGAAACGGCTAGACCTGCTTTTGCCAGAAACTAATCAGCACGTCTCCTTATCAATACGAATCAAATGTTTTTTGAATTATTCAAATCGGTTGATCTACGGGAAATTAAAAAGGTCAAAATTTTCAGATAAATTAAAAAAAACGAGATCTAAAAAATTCAAATTTTTCAGAAAAGACAATTTTTTTCAAAAATTTCAAAAACTCTTTATTTCCAAAGTTTCCAAAAAAAATGAATGTTTTTTTTTAAAAAAATTTTTTGGTACGGGAAATTTCAGCAATTTGCAAGGCACGATGCCATGCACCACTAGTTTCTCTAGTTTAAGTCATTTATCATCTACTATTTTTAACTTCCCGTAGGGTAAGTTATTGTAATGGGCCAAAAATCGGAATTGAAAATTTTTACATTTCTCGACGTTTTGAAGGTTTCTGAACATTTTACTGGCATACCTCAGAAAAAATGGATGTGTGTGTGTGTGTGTGTGTATGTGTGTGTGTGTGTATGTATGTGTGGATACAAATTTCCAGTCACGTTTTAGGGCGCACGGATCAACCGATTTGAATGGTTCGAAAAACATTCGATTCCTATTGATAGGGAAAAGAGCTGATTAGTTTTTAGCAAAGGCAGGTCCAGCCGTTTCGGAGATACAGAGCAAAGAGTGCGGAAAATAGAAATCGAATTTTTGAGAGAACGGAGTATCCGATTTGAATGATCTAGAAAACATTCAATTAGTAATGATTGGGAGAAGTGTTTATTAGTTTTTGGCAAAGGCAGGCCCAGCCGTTTCGAAGATACGGAGCTAAATATGTAAAAAATGATTCAGAAAACTTTCTGCTTGTCTTAACAAAATAATTGATTTTGGAAAAAAAAATTTTGTCCCATTTTTTTTTTTTTTTTTTTTTACTTTTTTGTTGAAACAAATAATTTCAACTTTGCAATTCAGTTTATATAATTCTTATAAATATTAGACAATGTTACAATATTTATAATAATCTATTTGAAAACATTCAGTATTCCTCGAACATTTCGTTACGGTACTTGAAGTTCCAGCAATTTGCCTTAAGGCACGATGCCACCCACCCCACTAGTTTTTTTTTTCAATGAAGTCATGCAGAAGGTACTTTTTCCAAATATGGGTCAGATCCAGCTTCCTACTCTGATTGACAAAAAAAAATAGAAGAAATAAGTTGCCCTTAGTTCTTAACATTGCTAAAGCATTATAAATGTTTGGAAAACAAAGTGAAAAAGTACCTGAAAATTTACCACATTGTAGATTTTTATTTTTCAGACCCTGTAAAATTTTAGAAACTCCTAATAAAGGTTCAAACAAATTTAGTTTTACACTCATAGACTTAAATTAAAAAATTCATAAATAAAAATCTGGATTCATCTATCGATCTTTCCTTTTTCTTGAACATACCAGAGCTTTTAAATTCAATTATATTGCATTATTTTTTTTTATTAAATCTTATTTTTACTTACCATTTTTTCTATTTTTCCAGTGGCCACAAGCACTGCCCAACCAGTGAGTTACGACTCCTTAAGTCCTGCCCTAAAGAGAGTCGCCCTCGAAGAGTTAAGGGAAGATGAAGACATGAGGGAGCAGGCTCTGGAGCAATTCAGAGACTGGATCAACAAACATCCTCATATCAAAAAATGCAGAACTGGTGAGATAATAGACATAGAAGGAAAATAAATTAATTTAAAACACAGTTACTCTTACTATTCTGTTTCTATTTCTTAGATGATTTGTTCCTGTTGAGATTCTTGCGCACCAAAAAGTTCTCCGTGCCCCAAAGTTGTGAGATGTTGGAACGCTATTTGAGTGTACGTCAATTGCACCCTGACTGGTTCCAGAATTTAGACATCGATGATCCAGCTTTGGATGATATTATTACTTCTGGTTACATTGTTCCTTTACCACAAAGGGACAGACATGGAAGGCAGATTATACTTTCTAGAGCAGGTAAGGGATCGAAACTTTCATCTGGTGGCTAAATTGTTCGAAGTAAAACTTCTTTAGGCGCGACTAGGGTGTAAATCCGTACAGATAAGATAAGATAAGAGCCGAGTGCCAATGATCCGTCATTCGCTCTTGATGATATCATTTCTATACGGGTCGATTGTGATTAGTCGTCGCGTATGTGAACAGAGATCTGTCGTTGTATGCGCACCGATATCAACAAGGAAATCGGCATAGATGAATAAACATTTTAAAGTTGCATCGTAGTACAAATCTTGATTTAATGAAAAATTCCTGAATCAGAAGAATATTTTACCCTGTTTCTTGAAAATAATAAAACAAATTAAGCATTTGCGCCGTGTATGAAACATAAGTTTATTGAAATAATTTCTATATTATTCGTAGTATCTATAAATCTTTGAAGTTATTGAAAAGGAGAATATTTTTAGGCAAAACAGATATTACAGCTGTTCAAAGAATGAGATTATATCGCCAGCGAAAAAGTATAAAAAATTATACAAGCAGTCAATGAATGTATGTTAATACTAAATTACATGAAGTTCTCCAAACACAATTATTACATGATGAGTGAAGTTGCGAAAACAATATTTGTTTAGGACTTGTTTAACATAATCCACTCTGCAGACGAATATTATAAATTTATTAATCAATAATTACTTCATTTCTCTAATGAAGGTTAATTTCGAAATGCTAATTAGAATTACAAACCGATCATGTCATATTAACTTTCCGTAGGGTGGTTATAGTAATGGGCCGAAAATCGAAAATGAAAATTTTTGCATTTTTCGACGTTTTAAAGATTTCTGAACATTTTGGCATACCTAAGAAAAAATGGATGGATGCGTGTGTGTGTGTGTGTTTTGTGTGTCCGCATTTTTTCGTCTACTTTTTCGGGCGCACGAATCAACCGATTTGAATGGTTTAGAAAACATTCGATCCCAATTGATAGGAAGATGTACTGATTAGTTTTTGGCAAAGGCAGGTCCAGCCGTTACGGAGATACGAAGCAAAGAGTGCAGAAAATACAAATCGAGTTTTTCAGAGAACGGAGTATCGGATTTGAATGATCTAAAAAACATTCAATTAGTAATGATTGGGAGAAGAGGTGATCAGTTTTTGACAAAGACAGGTCCCGCCATTTCAAAGATACAGAGCTAAATGTACAAAAAATGGCAGTTTTTGAGTGAACTAAATGTCCGATTTGATAATGATCGAAAAAACTTTCTGCTTGTATTGATAAAACAATTGCTTTTGAGGATAAAAATTTTTTATATCTTTTTTTTATTTTCCATAAAATATTTTTGTAATTTTGGATTAAAAATTCAAAAAATTGCCCAGGCTAAGCACAATCTAAGCGCCACCTTGGTACAAATGTTTATCCAAGTGCGTTTAGACTGTTTATGTACGGAGCACCTTTTCAATTTTGTGAAAACTATTGAAAAATGTGAAAATGTGAAAAGGCCCCAAGCTAAACACAGTATAATTGAAAATGTCGCACAGAATTATTTGCAAATGCGTTTAGACTGTGACTGTACGGGAGCCCTTTTTCAATTTTGTGTAAATTAGGCAACTATTTTTTTGAAATTGAATTCGCAAAAATGAAATGACGATTGTTAATGTTCTGGAAATAAATTGATTCGTTATTTATAATTTACATTTGATTTGCTCAGATATAACAAGATAGCAAAAATAATGAAAGTTACAGTATTTGTAAGAATATATTTGAAAATGTTTAAAATTTCTCGAATATTTCATTATGGTACGGGAAATTCCAGCAATTTGCTTTGAGGCACGATGCCATACACCTCTAGTTTGAAGTATGACTTTACATTAATCAAAAATGTTATATGATGTATTTATTTTTACTTAAATGCCATCTTGTACAGTAGCAAATAAGTTTTACTTCAATCGCGTGTGAACCTTACGCGCACTCTTTTTTTTATCTACAATTTTTACTTTTTTAGGTCATTTCGACCCTTACAAGTACACTTCAGCACAGATGGCACGTGCACACAGTTTAGTGTGCGAAGCTTTATTGGACGAAGAACAAAGCCAGGTTGCTGGATATTCTTATATCAATGACGAAGATGGTTTGCAAATGGGACACCTCAGTTTGTGGAGCCTTTCTGATATCAGGAGTCTTCTGAGAGCCATTCAGGTAATTGAAATAGACTCAGTTTTAACTTTATGAAGGAGCAAATTGGTAGCTCTTTCTTGATAAAGGAAGTTTTTGATAAAGATCCACAGGACTGTATGTATGGAAGTAATTTAAGGTAGTTTTTATTTTTATTTTAGAACTCTACTCCAATGAGACACAAGGAGACTCATTTCGTGAACGTTCCTCAATACGCCAACAAAATTTTGGAGTTTGCTTTGGGACTGCTCAGTGATAAACTCAAAAACAGAGTTATGGTAAGCAAATTGATTATCAGATCTGACATTGACTAAATCCTGTAAAACCATCAGTCAATCCTCAGGATAAACGATTTTGCAATTGATATAAATATATAATATCACTAAAACTATAAATATTATTATTACATATTTATGGGCCGAAAATCTAAAATGAAAATTTTTGCATTTCTTCACGTTTCAGAGGTTTCTGATCATTTTGGCATACCTCAGAAAAAATGAATGTGTGTGTGTATGTGTGGAGACAATTTTTTAACGACAATTTTAGGCTTATGGATGAAAAATTCAAAAAACATTCGATTTCAATTGATAGGGAGATGTGCTAAGTAGTTTTTGGCAAAGGCAGGTCCAGCCGTTTTGGAGTTACTGAGCAAAGAGTGCATAAAATAGAAATAGATTTTTTGAGAGGACGGAGCATCCGATTTGAATGATTCAAAAAACATTCAATTCGTAATGATGAGGAGAAATCGGGATTAGATTTTGGCAAAGACAGGTCAAGCCATTTCGGAGTTACGGAGCTAAATATGCGAAAAATGGCAGTTTTTGAGAGAACTAAGCATCCGATTTGAATGATTCAAAAGACTTTCTGCTTGTATTGGCAAAACAATTGCTTTCGAAGATAAAAAAATATTACATCTTTTTTTATTTTCCATGAAATATTTTTATGATTTTGGATTAAAAATTAAAAAAATTCCCCAGGCTAAGCACAGTCTAAGCGTCACTCTGGTACAAATGTTTACCCAAGTGCTTTTAGACTGTTTACGTACTGGAGAACTTTTCCTATTTTGTGAAAACTGTTGAAAAATGTGAAAATGCCGCCAAGCTAAGCACAGTATAAGTGAAAATGTCGCGCAGAACTATTTGCAAATGCGTTTAGACTGTGACTGTACGGGTACAATTTTGTGTAAATTAGGCAACTATTTTTTTGAAATTGAATTCGAAATGAAATGACGATTGTTAATGTTCTGGAGATAAATTGATTTATGATTCACATTTGATTTTCCCAGATATAACAAGATAGCAAAAATAATGAAAGAGTTGTGATAATATATTTGAAAACGTTTAAAATTTCTCGAATATTTCATTACGGTACGGGAAGTTCCAGCAATTTGCCTCAACTCACGATACCACACACCACTAGTTTAGTAATTTATTATTACCATATTTTAATTTCTTCAGATGCATAAAGAGCAAGATGCCCTGAAAGAGCAATTTGACCCATCCATCCTGCCCAAAGAGTACGGTGGTGTTGTACCATTATCCGAAATGATCGAGCAGTTCAAACAGAAAGCCAGAGCCCGAAGAGACAGAATTTTGGCTCTCGATGAAATGCAAATCGATTTAGAGGCTATGAATATCACCAAAGAGACTCATGAGGACGACTTGGGTACCGGAGTTGCTGGAAGTTTTAGGAAATTGCAAGTCGATTGAGGGAAGGAACTAGGAAAAGTAATATCATAAACTGAAGGTTTATATATATTTTCTCTTATTGATTTTTGCACGTGTGATTGAGTTAAAGGTACAAGGATGCTTATTAATAATACATACAGTAGAGACTCGAATAACTGGACTAATTGTTATCGATAGGCATTCGGATAATCGAATGTATGAAGAATAATGTTATGTATTTGGAGGTTTATTAGGAATTTAAAACCACCTTATGTATGTACATATATATATTTTTAAATTACAATCATAATCTAAACTGCAGCCTTAATCATGCAAAAATTCGAATTGTAGGTATGTACATACATATAAATTGGTCGTGGTTGGGAGTCCAAGGTTTTACTGAATTTAATTTTTAATAAGCACCCTTTGTCAAAGTTTTTTTTAATGAGGAATCTATATATAAATATCATATTTAAATTATTTTTTCAACCAATTGACAGAAAGAAAATCGGTATAGTTTATTACACCGATAATATTCTATTCGATTCTGTTTTGAATTCCGGGAAATCTTTTATAAAATATATAATTTTTTTTTGAGTTTTTTTTAATATAATATAATATATATTGTAACATGACCTTAATTAATATTGTTAATTAGTTAAATTAAATGTGTTAGTATTTTTTATATATTTTATAATCGACAGAAACATATATAACCCTGGACAAAATTTATTTTAATGAATCTCCTTTTTCACTTATTACGTTTTATGTCTTTTATTTTGTCTCTTTTGATACTGTCTACTTTTTTTCTATTCTAATTTTTTCTTCACTTTTATATATTTATTTTATACGTATATTGTAGAGCTTTGAACAAAGAATGCAAAAAGTAATAAAAAACAAACGTTTTTTAAAAAACCATTTCTTTATTTCATCTTCAGGACATCTGTCAAGAAACATGATCTTGATAAAATTTAAGCAAACAATATGTTTAAGAAAAGCAGAATATGGTGGATTTTTTTTGTATAAAATGAATAAAATTGTGGAAAAAATAATGTACAGTTTCACAATTTGTTCGATGCTCTACAAAATATTTACAAATCCAACCCTCTTTCATCTGATATATATATATATATATATATATATATATATATATATATATATTGTTAATTAGTTAGATTAAATGTGTTAGTATTTTTTATCTATTTTATAATCGACAGAAACATTTATAACTCTGGACAAAATTTATTTAATTTTAATGAATTTTTTTCTCCTTTTTTTAGACTTTTTATGTCTTTTATTTTGTTTCTTCCCTATCGACTAAACTTTCACCTATTTCTACAAAAATTTTATTTACTTTCTTCTTTGATACTATCTACTATTTTTCTATTCTAGTTCTTTCTTTAATTTTGGTACATTTATTTATATTAGTATCCACTGCAGTTTTCTTTTCATTTCTGAATATCATTTGATTTGCTATACAAATTTGTCTTTCATAAATTACTTTACGATGAACTTCAATTTTTGTATGATGAGTCTGATTGTGTTTTCTTTTCATCTAATAAACAGTTTTTACTTCATTTTTTTCTTGTTTCTGAATTCTGTTTCATTCTTTATTTACTCTTTGAATCTATCTATTCTAAAATTATATTTATAGCATTTCTTTTAGATATCAGTACAACCCAGTTTTCCTTTCACCATCTTTCTTACACTATTCTGTTTCTTTTTCTTTCAAAAATTCTTCTACAAATATTTATTTGAACTACAAATATTAAAGGCTGTCTATGGTCTTGTCTTTTATTCTTAATGATTTTTTTAAATTATACTGTAGTATAAATAGTATATAACTAATAATAATGGGGCAATTCTGCTGTAACAGAATCTTAGATGATGCAATTATCATAAGATCTTTTTCCTTGTTTATTTATATGTAAAATACGCCTGATGGCACGGCAAATGGATAGACTTCATAATTGTCGACACCGAGAACAAACACAAGGGGCGTTCCCATGGCAACGCTATTTTATGAGATCTGTTACGGCAGAATTGCCCCATATAAATTATCTTACCATTACATTTTATCTTATTTTATCACTTTTGGCTGTTTTATTCTATCGTTTAAGCTTCTGGAATAAACCGGGTCTTATTCTATCAATAAGTGCATAGTTTATATGTTTGTTATTAATTAATTATATTTTTTATTTTATATTTATATAATTAGTAGGTACCAAAATATTTAATTTAATATTTTGGCCTCTATAGGTGGAATAATGTTACCAAATCTGTGATCAGAAAGTTTTTATCTGATTTTTATATTATTAAATTAGTTTTAATAATTAATTGTTGTGTATTTTTGTGTTTGTATGCTTTCTTAATAAAGTTTAGGTAGCTTAAATGTGATTTTGTTTTAGAAAAAGAAAAAAAGAAAAAGGAAAATGGGAAAGGAAAAGAAAAGAAATGTATTTGTGAATATTTTTTATAAGATACAGGAAAATTTGATGTTGAAGATGCACCATGGAAGTGGATAGCAAATTTAAAAATCGGTGAGAATTTTAACTATTTTTGATTATTTGACGAGATTTTTTTATACTATCGGATGTATCAATCCTAACCTCGGCCAGCTCGATATCAAGCAGTATGATATCAAATTTCTTCCCGAGGAAATAGATCTCAATATAATCTATTAATATAATTTATTTTAACTATTTTTGATTATTCGACGAGATTTTTTTATACTATCGGATGTATCAATTCTAACCTCGGTCAGCTCGATATCAAGCAGTATGATATCAAATTTCCTCCCGAGGTTATAGATCTCAAATAAAATCTATTAATATAATTTATTAATTGATTTAGATCATGATCCAACTTTTTTTTCTATTTCGTCATAAAGTTTTGTAAATTATCTATGACGATACAGATTTGTCAGCCGCCAAATTTTGCTTCATCATAATAGGAAAAATGTATGAAAAAAATTAATCCAGCATGATATTTCTTAATGGAATTAAAATTAAATTTCCAGTTGCTAATTGCCGACATTTATATATCATTTTAATATCAATGCAGGGGAGAACAACCTTTGTATAAATTCATTTATTAGGAGGACAAATAGATATAATTAAATATTAAAAAATTATTAATTAAGATTTCGATAAAAATGCTCATTTTGTCTGAAAGCATTTTTGAAACCGAAACTTTACAGACTTATGTCCTATTTTGTTACGCGAGAGAGACAGAAGATATCATGTAGTGAGAAAAAGAGATAGCGCTATACATTTTGGTTTTAGAGCGAAAGAGAGCGATGTATACGCAACGGTTGAGAATGACAGAGCAAGATATATCATATTTTAAAATACTTGGCACGATGTTTTGTGATTTTTTAAGTATCTCTAGAACAAATTATTTTTAAGTATACTATATGTGAATTATTTAAAAAATGGATAATGATCTATCTATTTTTTGTATTTTTTTCAAGGCGCACTCTTCTCATTCTCGAAAGCATTTATAATAACGTAATTTCAGAAAGAAATATAAAATCAAGCTCAATAAATATTAGTAAAACGTCATTTTAAACAGGTAAAACAAGTAGAATATTTTTTTAGTAAAGAAAATCTACTAAGACTAACCAAAATCTACTAAGACTAACCAAAATCTACTAAGACGACCAAATTCAGTAATTTTAGAAAGAAAGAGAACTCTACTGACGAGCAAATTCCAATTTTGAATATCAGAAATCCTTAAATATCTTTAATCCTTATCACGCGATTAAAGACGACACCAAACATAAAATTAGCGAATCTGATTTTACAGCAAAAAATTATTTATCGTTTATTAAAATTTAATTTATTTCAATTAAATAGTTTATATTCTCTGTACGACTTCGTAAATATTTACCCGTCATATTTTATATGTGAATAAAATCGAAAAGTCATTTCGTTTGTTTGCATTCTGATAAGCGAATTCATCTTATTCACATAATTATATGAAGTTCATGATTGAAGTACTTAATAGATTATGTTTTTACCAAAAAACCCATAAATAGAACAAATCCACTCGCTAGACTGATGGTGATATGGCATCGGCTTAAATCTCATTTGTAAAATGATACAAAACGAGATCTAATAATTAATTAATTAAAGCATTTTTCAATTAACGAAGTGCAGTTTAAGTATAAAAATAAAAGTGGATTTAAAATTATAATATATATTTATTTAATAATATTCAAGTTCAAAGTGTGATAAGATTTTGGTAACTGATATAAAGGTTTAATTTGAAAATTAAAATTAAAATTAAATCGAAAAACTAATGTCTATTTTGGAAATACTATTTTATATTCTTCTAAAAATTGCAATAATAGCAATATTTATATTTATGAAAAAAACGTGTGGACAAAACAAGATAAACAGTGGAAACTAAAATATAGTGAAAGAAAGCCTATTTTAAAATCTATAAAATATATCATTTAAATATAATGTGAAAATACTTGAGAAGTTAATTATCAGTTTAATTTATTTCAACTAAAATTAATAAAATGGATATCAATAACAAAAAAATTGAAGATGGTGTTTATACCGTCAAATTGGATGATGGTGACTCTTTGGATACAAATAATAAAGGTAACTTATATATTAAATGTATTTATTGAATATCCGTAAGGCAAGTTGTAGTAATCTCAAAAAAATCGAAAATGAAAATGTTCATATATCTTTACGTTTCAGAGGTTTCTGAACATTTTGGCATGCTTTAGGAAAAATGGATGTATGTGTGTGTGCGAATACAAATTTTTGTCGACGATTTCGGGCGTATGGATGAACCGATTTGAATGATTCAAAAGGCAGTCGATTCCTATTGATAGGGAGATGTGCTGATTAATTTTAGGCAAAGGCAGGTCTAGCCGTTTTGGAGATACGGAGCAAAGAGTGCAGAAAATAGAAATCTAATTTTTGAGAGAACGTAGTATCGGATTTGAATGATCTAACTAGTGGGGCGCATAGCATCGTGCCTTAAGGCAAATTGCTGGAACTTCCCGTACCAAAAATTATTTTTTTTTAAAAAGATTAACATTTTTGAAAAAAATTACTCTGAAAAATTAGATTTTTGAGAAACTATAAACTTTTGACAAAAATTTACTTTTTTTTGAAAAAAATACTTTTTGAAGAAAAGTGTATTTTGAAATATTTTGGAAATTCTGAACTTTTTTTCAAAGCAATTCACTGCATAGAGATGAAATATCGAAGCGCGTAAGCGCCGCGCCGCCGTCTAACGGATAAGCATTGGTACGGAACCCATGGGAACGTAAAAAAAATTTATACCTATTGTTAAAATCTCTATAAAATATCTGATAATTTGATGTGCATATGTCTAATGTTCATTTTTGGCCGCTAAATGGCATTTTTTTTACTTTTTTCATTAGATCTCCGAAACTGCTAGACCTGCCCTCATGAAAATTTGATCAATTCTTCATCTTGTCAATACAAGTAAAATGTGTTTTGAATTATTCAAATCGCTTCCCGAAATCGTGTTCCCGAAATCGTCGACAAAAATTTGTATCTGTACACACATGCTCACGCACACACATACTAACACACATACATCCATTTTTTCTAAGGTATGGCAAAATATTCAGAAACCTTTGAAACGTAAAGATATATAAAAATTATCAATTTCGATTTTTTGCGATTGCTATAACTTGCCCTACGGAAAGTTAAAAAAGCATTCAATTTGAAATTTCTGTACACAAAAACTTTTCATTACTCATGGTTTTTTGAACTAGGACCAGGAAGTTCAAAACCGATTAAGCCTGTGACGTACTAAAAACATTATATTTTTTTAAATCAAACCTGGTAACTTTGGTCTTTCTAGTTGACCAGGAAGTTCTTAATCGATTAAGGCAGGAATGTACAAGATATATTATTTGCCTTAAGGCACGACACCATACACCACTAGTTAGAAATTTATTTTTTATTTAAAATTACAAGTATCTAATTGTCTAATACTATTAACTACTTATGTCACTTATTAATACCCTTTACTATTTTTCTTAGGAAGTCTCCAAAAATCCAAAGACATCAATTCTCCCGCCGATTTCGAAACGGCGGTATCAGCCACGGATTTTGGCCTCTTCAACATCCTGATGTTACTGGTTGCCCTACCATGTGCTGCTTCCAGTGTCTTCGACACAACAACTTTGGCATTTGTTGCTCCTGATGCCGAATGCGACTTGGGACTCACTTTGATGGATAAAGGACTCATGAATGCTATTGTCTATGTCGGTAAGTAAAAAAAAATCTTACTGTCGGTCAAGTAAGAGCGTGGCCGTGTTAATTTATAAAAATTATTATTTTATGAAACTTTTATATTTATATATGCAATGTATACATTACAAGCAATGATGCAATTCGGTCAACATGTGTCCAGTCGCTACCGGAGTCGACAATTGGATGGCATCTCCGACGCATGCTTTTTACTAATTTAATGGATTATTCTAATCTGACGGCTTGTATTTTGATTTAACGGCTCGATCAGGGCAGTACGAGCTCATATAGAACATTCATCAGTAAAAATGACATTTTCAAAATCTCAATCAATATTTTCATGTGCCCAAGCGGTCAAGATGACATGTTCTTCGTCGTCAGAGGCTTCCCCATTGTGTTGCGCCATTTCAGATCATGAATACGAAGAAAGGTTCAAATAGTTTTGTAGATATTTTTGTGGATATTATTTTGTGGATAAAAGATCAACGACAACTAAACCTTTGTTGTCAATGCATCAAGGACAAAGCTTCACTTTATCGGCTCACGAAAGAATTAGACCGAAATCTTTCGAAAAATGTGTCGGTAAGCGCATAACTCAACAACGACCGGACCAATTCTTTTTTTAAAATGTTCGTTGAAGCCCAAGGATGGTTCTTACGGCGAGAAAAAATCTAATAATTGCCGGGAAAACCCTAAAAACAGCCCTTTTCTTTTTCTCATACAAACGTTTTCTAACTAAAACGTAGAATCAATTTGAGCTTTATTGCTATCATATAAAGCTCATATTAAATTACAAGCACTCACTGTGTATACTCCCCAAACGATTATTCGGATTTTGATAAATCTTTCTGAAGTTTGTTAAGGAAATTTTCTAGGATATGTGTAATTATAAAGTACTGGGATGTATGTGCAATATGGTAGAAATAATCGGAAAAAATTGCAAAAAACGACATGTCATTGTTTGCATTGAAAACAAATGTAAACTATCATCTGCCAAAAATTTTAATTTACTTATGAACCTAGACAATATTAGAATATGTATAATAAATTTATGATTACGAATAAGAAAAATGAAATGTCTACATTATTATTGCCAAAAAGCAGCTGAGGTGTGGCAGAAATTAAAATAATATAAGATACAGTATATGTATGGCAGATTGAAGGATACACATATGAACAGGATATGACAAATTAATTTACTTGAAATATGAAATTAAGTATTAATCAGGGCCGGTCCTGCCTTTAATGCGATGCATGTGAAATATACGAGCGCACGCCTTAGGGGGCGCCGACACAAAATTGGGATATTAAATTTTCAATATAGTTTTTTTTTTTCAATATATAATTTCTTTGTATCTTTTGCTAATCTTTCCACAATATTTTTAAAATTCGTAAAAATTTCACTTTATAACAACAAAGGAAAAGTAAAGATGAATACATACAATTCGGCCCTCACAATATCGATTAGAAGAAGTTTAAGATGCAATTTTGGAGATACTAAATAATAAAAAATTAAATTAATTTAATCCAACATGTAGTACCAGTGTTATGTTATGGTTTTGGTTATGTTATACCGTTTAAAAGACTTCAATTTCCAATATAGTATGGGAATTGAGACTCATCATTTTATTTAAAGCAGTTCTACATTTAACATCGCTCATATTATAAATGTATGTGTATTTTTGCGTGAAGATTTAAAAAAGAAAACAATAATTATTATTTTTGAGTAAACGGTAAGTATTAGTATATTATGTTGAAAAATTGTCAACATGGGTACAGCACAACGTCTGTCAGGTCATCTAGTTATTAATAATTGTGATAAAGAAACTTTATTTAGATTTTTTTATCCAGGTATGATCCTGTCTGCATTTCTTTGGGGTTACTTGGCAGACACTTTAGGAAGGCGAAAACTGATGGTTCTTGGTTATCTTTTGGATGCAGTTTGTGTTTTTGCGTCGGCTTTTAGTCAGTCCACGACTGCTTTGATGATTGCTAAATTTTTTGGAGGATTTATGTAAGTTAAAAATGTTTGATTGGTTGCAATTTATTTAAAAACAAAAGTAGTTTGGCATTCTGCCAAAGAGAAAAGTGGCATACTGCCTTAAAGCAACTTTCCGAAATGTGTAAGAATTGACTTATTCAACCCAAATTAAAATTTAGATATTTAGATAACAATTTCAACTGTTCATTTTGAAAATATCAATTTATCAATCAATATATTTCAATAAATATAAATATATGCATAATATTTTTTATTTTGTTCGGACATTTACCCGTAGGTATAGTATCTGTCCTTCTAGTAAAACAATAATAAGTATTTAGATTATGAAAGTTATGATTGTTTGACAAAAAAGGAGGAAAGAAAAATTTTCCCTTCAAAAAATATTTCAAAAATAAAGTTTTTGCATTCAATTCAATTTAAACATTGCGATTTCTAATTGATTTTTCTCAAACACATTTGAATTTTCTGTAATTGTATATTACACAGACACTTTCTTGTTTGTATGTCCTAAAATTGTAGTTTATTATTTTAAATTTTAATGAATTAAGAATGTTTGACTCATCACATCACAAAAGCAACTATTGACACACATTTTGACTATAAAATTTTCTCAAACTTTGAAGAATTTTTAACACTACTATAGTTGCCGAAGAAACGTAAAACTTCAGTATGTTCTTTAGGACCACGATATCTTTCAACATAAAAAGTTTCATCAAAAATAGTTAATTACGAAAAAACAGCTCAGCCAATCTTAGTCCTAAATTAATCAACACGACTCCCAAATAATATCTTTCAAATAGTTTTTGAATTTTTAAAATCGATTCAGAATTTTTGGATAAAACGTGGACGGATTTTTAACTTCCCGTAGGGTAAGTTATAGTAATCGAAAAAAAATCGAAAATGAAAATTTTTATATATCTTTACGTTTCAGAGGTTTCTTAACATTTTGGCATACCTTAGAAAAAATGGATGTATGTGTGCGTGTGTGTATGTGTGTGTGCGTGTGTGTATGTGTGTGCGGATACAAATTTTTGTTGACGATTTCGGGAACACGGATGAAGCGATTTGAATAATTAAAAAACAATTCGATTTGTATTGATAAGAAGACGTGCTGATTAGTTTTTGGCGAAGGCAGGTCTAGCCGTTCCGAAGATACGGGGCAAAAAGTACCAAAAACAGTAACTCAGTTTTTAAGAGAACAGAGCGTCCGATTTTAATAATCCAAAAACATTTTATTTGTATTAACAAGATGAAGAACTGATCAAATTTTCATAAAGGCAGGTCTAGCGGTTTTGGAGATCTAGTAAAAAAAGTAAAAAAAATGCCATTTAGCGGTCAAAAATGATCATTTGACATATGCACATTAATTTCTCAGATATTTTATAGAGATTTTAACAATAAGTATAAATTTTCTTTACATTCCTATGAGTTCCGTACCATTGTTTATCCAATGCAGTTAAAGCAGTACGATTGCTTTGAAAAAAAGTTCAGAATTTCCAAAATATTTCAAAATGATTTTTTCTTCAAAAAGTCTTTTTTTTTTCAAAAAAAGTAAATTTTTGTCAAAAATTTATAGTTTCTCAAAAATCTATTATTTTCAGTGTTGTTTCAAAAATGTTAATCTTTTTTAAAAAAAAATAAATATTGGTACGGGAAGTTTCAACAATTTGCCTTAAGGCACGATGCCATGCGCCCCATTCCAATATATCTAACAAAACTTTCGGGACAAATTTTAGGTTTATCTGTTCCAAGTCATTTTTACTGATTGTTAGAGACGCTGAAAAAAATGTTTCTTGTTGAATATATCTTGTTTGCTAATTAAATTAAATATATCAAAAAAGTCTGCCAATTAAATTATATTTTTCACCTTTCTTTAGTATTTGTGGCCCATTCGCCGTCCTGATGTCATATCTATCGGAATTCCATGGAGCAACTCATAGATCAAGAGTAGTACTTTGTGTCGGTATGTACTTCTCTCTGGCAAATATCACTTTGCCAGGAATGGCATGGGCAATCATTCCCACGAGATGGGTTTTGATGCTGCCTAATGGATCAGGTAAGAATAAATGAAAATTTTAAGCAAAGCCATAGACCATCTATTACCTAATTATTCTTGTTATTTTTTACTAGAATTGCACTCCTGGCAAATATTCCTGGCTTTCTGCTCGTTGCCAAGTTTCTTGAGCGGAATCTTTATGTGGATGTTGCCTGAAAGTCCAAAATTCTTGATGTCTCGAGGCAGGAACGAAGAAGCTTTGGAGGTTTTCAAGAAAGTGTACAGGATTAATCATTGGAATGACAAGACTGAATATCCAGTAAGTAGTAAAAACAGTTTTTATCATAAAATTTTTCTACTAATAATTTAATAAACATTTTGTTTATGTTCAAATCTTAGGTGAATTAATTTGTAAAATCTAGTTCATATGAGCACTCTTTAATCTAAGATCAATTTGCTAAATATTCTATATCCAATGCCAAACAAATGAATTTTGACACGTTAAACAAAATTCTAAATCATTATTTTAATAAGTAGAAATGTTGTTTGTATTGCTAAATAATTTAGTGAAGTGAACCAAAATGCGACATGCATAAGTTAAAAAAAAATAATGTACATGCAATTTTGGACTTGTTGCGTTATTTATGAAACTGAATTATATAATTTCATCTGCCAAACAGATACTGTATCTTATATTATTTTAATTTCTGGCACATGTCAGCTGCTTTTCGGCAATAATAATATAGACATTACATTTTTCTGGCATATTTGATTCTAATATTATCTAGGGTCATAATTTCAGCTAAATTCAAATTTCAAGTGAATTCACATTTCTAGCAGATGACAGTTAAAGAAAATAATATAAGTTACAGTCAACAGTATATTTTGGCAGATGAAATTATATAATTCAGTTTAATAAACAACGCAACAAGTCCAAAATTGCATATACATTATTTTTTTAAATTTGTGCATATCGCATTTTGGTTTACTTTAGTAAATTATTTAACAATACAAAAAATATTTCTACTTATTAAAAAAATGATTTAGAATTTTTGTTCATGTGTCAAAAATTTATTTGTTTGGCATTAGATATGGAATATTTAGTAAGTTGATCTTAAATTGGAGAGTTCTCATATGAACTAGATTTTACATATTAATTCACTTAAGATTTGAACAATAATGTTTATTAAATTATTAGTAAGAAAAATGTACGTTAGAAATTATAATTGCCAAAGAGTAACCAATATATCGTACGAGATTATAAAAATTATAGACTAAATGATTGAAGCAATTATGTTGTGTGGTTAAATCAAGTGTGATATTGTTCTTTTACCGCAGACGCTATATTATTTTTTTCTGAATTTCTTATACTACTTTTGCTAAGACCATAAATGAATCACATAGGACATCAAATAGGATATTAAAAAGTATAGGATAGAATATTTAAAAAAATTGAACTTTTCAATTGTATGTGGGTACAGGACTACGTCTGTCGGGTCATCTAGTATATATATTATAATTGCTATGAATTTTTTCTTTTAGATAAAACAACTGGTGGAAGAAACCAAAGCCAATGGACAAGATGGTTCTCCCAAGCCTGAAGGAATGGAAGCCCTTAAGGCTGGTTTCAAACAATTCAAGCCTTTATTCTATGCACCACATTTGAAAAATTGCATCATCGTCTGTGCTATACAACTTTTGGCTTTATTGGGGTAAATAGAATTTAATATTATAAACAATAGTTGCACAATTGTATTAAAAAATCTAATAAGTGGATGTTAATGTATATAGTTTGGTGAACAAAAATCTATTATAAATTTTATTTTCCAGGTTGAATACTTTAAGATTGTGGTTACCCCAAATGTTCTCCATGATGGAAGAGTACGATGCAAATCCTTCTAAAAATGATACATCTTTGTGCAGCATTTTGGGGACAACTTTGAACCAAACGAAATATACTCAGGATGTTTTTGATGTTAATGCACCATGCACAGTGGTAATTATATTTTATTTTTAATAATTACTAATAGACATATATAAATTATTTTTCTTTTAGAAAATACATAGAGGTATTTTTATACAACTTGGATAATTTTTAACTGCCCGAAAGATAAGTTTGTTTTCATCAAAAAATCCGATTCGCTAATTTTATGTTTTCTCGACGTTTCAAGCCAATCTGAATCGAATAAGACCAAATTTGGAAAAAGTATGTGTGAGTGTGTGCGTGTATGTGAACAGATTTTTTTCCGTAAATCGACGTTTTCTCGAAAACGGCTGGACCGATTTCAAAAATTTAAAAGCCATTCGATGTATCTCGATGAGGACTATCGTTTGTCAGTTTTCTGCGTCGATTGGCCGAACTGTTTCTTCGTAATTAACTGTAGAAAAAAAATCTATGATTTTTTTTATGTTTATAGACGTCATGGTCTTTCTTAAAGAACACACTAAAATTTGAAAATTTATCAAAGTTTAAAAAAATATGATAGTCAAAATTTATGTCAGAAGTCGCTGAGTAAAAATTTGAATATCACAAATTTAAATGCCATTTTTTTTTTGGAAATAGTGTAAAAATAAGCCTACGAAACTTCTCTAGTCGTGTAAAAAAATGTTACAATTAATTTAAATTATTAAATAATATCAAGGACTGCATACATGATATACGTAATCGTAAAAAATTTCATCTAAATATCTAAATCTCAATTTCGGTCATTTATTACTCAATATTATTAATTCATTTATTACTCTTTTCGGGTAGTTCATCATGCAACTTGCCTTAATGCAAAATGCCACTTTCAACTAGTTATTTTTAATAGTTACTGATAGATATGTATACATTATATTTCTTATAGCAAATAGAAGTTTAATTAATGGTCTTACTAGTTTTTTTGCTGATAAATGATTTATAAGCAGTGGTGATTTTTATAGACGACTGATAGGTTTATTATACATATGGCTTGCATTTTTTATTATTGAGAAATATCTATTTATATTATATTTTTATTTTAGACAACTGAATACTCAATGTACATAAATTCGACAATTGTTGGAATTGTTTCGTTCTGCGGATATTTGATAGCTGGAGCACTTATCAATGCAGTCGGCAATAGAAATATTTCAAGTAAGTTGAACCAAAAATAAAGTATATATATATATATATATATATATATATATATATATACAGGGCCGGATTTAGAAATTTGGCGCCCCGGGGCACTGACAAAAATGCCGCCCCATCCCTAATATTTTACGAACTTTCGAACTTTTTTTAAAGCAATCGCGCTGCTTCAGCTGCGTAGGATCAAAATATAGGAGCGCGTAAGCGCCGCGTCGCAGTCTAACAAATAAACAATGTTACATAACCCATATAAATGTAAACAAAATTTATACTTATTATTAAAATATTTTTAAAATATCTGATAATTTGATGTGCATATGTCTAATGATCATTTTTGACCGCCAAATGTTTCTTTTTCAATTTTTTTTATTGGATCATCGAAACCGCTAAACCTGCCTCCCACAAATTTAAGCAATTATTTATTCTATAAATTTTTTTGAATGATATTGGACGCTTCTTTTCTCAACAACTAAATTATCATTTTTGGCATTTTGGCCCGTATCTTCAAAACAGTTGGACCTGCCTTGGCCAATAACTAATTAGCACGTCTCCTTAACATTAGGAATTGATCGGTTGATCCGTGTTTACTTGAATAATTAAAAAATATTAGATTTGTATTGATGGGGAGACGTGCTGATTAGTTTTTGGCACGAATTACGAAAAATGGTAATTGAGATTTGATATTTCTTCTCTGAAACAGCTACGCAGCGCGATTGCTTTACAAAAAGTTCATAATTTTCAAAAAATTTCAAAATGCAAAAAATGTGTCAAGTCAATTTTTTTCATTTTCAATTTTTTTCAATTTTAAAGCTCTTTATAAAATGTAATTTTCAGTACGGGATGTTTCAATAATTTGTCTTAAAAGACACAATGCCATGCGTCACTAGTTTAAAATATTTTTCAACGCTATAAGCTTGGTAGTGCAGAAATTCGTCATTTTAAGAAGGCTCGAGAACTGAAGAAAATATTTTTCTTAAACTTTCAGCTTGTTTACGGATCTTTATATTAGCCAAATTGACAAATTTTATAATGACTTATTAACCAATTTGATAATTTACGTTCGGAGAGGGAGACAAGGCAAAATACTAAATTTTAATAATCGGTTATTTCAAACCAAATTTTGCATTGCAATCGTATTATGTTTTGTTAATTATATTTCTTGAAATAAAAAATGTTGTTAAAAAAAAGTTGATTATATTGTATAGAATTTTTTTCTCACTATCCAAATTTTGCCGCCCCCAAAAATTTGCCGCCCTGGGCAGTAGCCCCGATTGCCCCTACTGCAAATCCAGCACTGTATATATATATATATATATATATATATATATATATATTTAATGAAATATTTTGTATTTGCCCAAGTGAATTTATGGATGGTTTTGAATGTCAAATGATAGTAATCATGTAGTAATAATGAAAAAAATTGTGAAAACCTGAAAAAAGAATTAATTTTGAAGATGACTATTTTTCAGATATATATTTACAAATTGTGATAAACAATTTAGAAAAAATAGTTCTCACGTTTTTTTATATTCCTGCAACCTTATTGTAATAGCAAGTTTTTACGAGAAAATATCTTAAATTATTGTTATTTTAATCATTTAATTTATTTATTTCAGTGTTTGGTTTCTTTCTGGCCGGTAGTTGCGGAATGGCCTTATATTACGCCTGGACGCCGATTATTGCGGTGGCGCTGTCGGCGGTCTATTGCGCCATATCAGGAATTAGTACGACTGCCCTTATTGGAATAGTAGTTGTGTTATTTCCAACAGATTTAAGGTAACGAACTAAAAAAATTGATAAAAAATCATCATTTACCAATTTAAATTATAAATAATTTTTTACTTTGAAAACGGTGCCCAGGATTGGCCCGGACAGTTCAGGAATTTGTGACCAGAATTCAATTTTTTACGGAAAATAGTTCTTTCGTGTAACTGTTTTTAATATATTTAAATTAAATCATTTTCTAATTGAACCTAAAAATTATGCTAATTATGGATCTTATATTCATGTTAATTTCTAAGATTTTTTTATCTTGATTAGGATCATCATTTTTGAATTTTTTTTATGTATCATATATGTGATGAAATTTTTTTTAGAACTATGGCTGTGTCTCTGCTTATGATGATCGGTCGTGTCGGTGCAGTTTTTGGAAATGTGGTATTTCCCCTTTTATTGGAATCAGGATGCTTTGCACCGTTTTTCACGCTTGGAATCGTCATTTTTGGTGAGTTGATATAATATAGTAGTAAATAATTTTTCATTAAATTGGAAAATAACAATAAATTGATATAATATAATGAACTCTTATAAAATTTGAAAGTTTTAATAATCCTTATTACAATCTATTTTCCAAATGATTAAAAGACCTTACCGTCTACTTTACTGAATTAATATTGAATTTTGAAAATAAGTTTCTTTATAAGTAAAGCGCAGTTCAAATAAATTAAATTAATATTATGTTTTCCTTTTCTTGTCTAAGTTATCATTTTTTTAATTATAATTAAATTATTCTTCTTATATTTGACATAATTTTATTCCTTGTTTTCAGTTTGCGGTCTACTTTGTTTACTGTTGCCAAAAACGAGTAAAAAACCTTTGCAATAGGTCTTAAAATTGATAAATCAAAGATTTTTATCTTAAGTACAAATAAGTCACTTATAAAACAGTTCTAGGTTCAATTTAAAATGATATTTTTATATGAACGCCATACTGAAAATTTTTAGTTTTAAGTATAATAATAATAAGTGCTGTGTGTAAAATAAATTTTCTAAGTTTGTAGATTTGTTATAAAAAATACTTTTAAATGTGTGATATTAAGTAAGATCACATTAGTTTTAGGTAAAATAAATATAATACTTTATATCGTCGTCACTAGATTATATTTTTAAAATAGTTAGGCTTTCATGTTAATTTGAATAGTTTAAATATGATGATTAATTGTCTACTAAATGAATGGTTGATCTAGAAAATTTCAATCACATACTAATAATGCCAAAAATATGTTAGTTTATATAAATATTTAATATAAACAATCCTGTAGAATTAGTATAAAACGTACAAAAATAAGTATGAATATAAGTTAACACGTTAAACGCCATGTCAGTCATATGTGTCTGACACTAAAAAGTTGCACATGAATTATGTCAGTCACATATGTGGACATAAAAAATGGTGTTTTCGCAGGAGTTTTGTCAAAAAACATTTCTTTGGTGCAATAAATAAATAATTTTTTTTAACTAAGTTACTAATAAAGTTACCCAGGGGTATTTTTTAACGAGTGCAGAAAATAGAAATCCATTTTTTGAGAGAACGGAGTATCGGATTTGAATGATCAAAAAAACATTCAATTTGTAATGATTGGGAGAAGTGGTTATTAGTTCTTGGCAAAGGCAGGTCCAGCCATTTCGAAGATTCAGAGCTAAATGTGCAAAAAATGGCGTCCGATTTGAATGATTCAAAAAACTTTCTACTTGTGTTGGCAAAATAATTGCTTTTAGAAAAAAATATTTTAATTTTTTTTTTTGAGAAAATATTTTTTGTATATCGAAAATAATTCAGATCTTAATTGTAATTCTGACTTAAGTTTTAATACATTTTAAATAGATAATTACAACTTTCCAATTCAGTTTATATAATTCTTATAAATATTAGACAATGTTACGATATTTATAATAATCTATTTGAAAACATTCAGTATTCCTCGAACATTTCGTTACGGTACGGGAAGTTCCAGCAATTTGCCTTAAGGCACGATGTCATACACAACTAGTTACAATATTGGGTCACGCTCTTAGGACATACATGATGTACGTTTTAAGTGCGTGATGATCGATTTCTGGAAATTTATGAATATATTGAACTATTTACCAAGTATTCTTACTAGTATGTTTGCTAAATTTGCAATAAATTGAATTATATGTGCATTAGTTTTTAGTAATATTCCATATGGCACATCTAAGCCATACAGTAACTCGGTATACTTATAAATTTATATCTTATTATTTATAGTTTATAATTATTCACACATTTTTAGTTAAAAGAATGAGTTTAAAATTCTTGAAACATGTGCATATTTAAGTTTTAAATAGTAGTATTCATTCCAGTTTTTATACAAAAAAACCAATGCCAGGTAAATAAAAGGTTTATATCAAAGCAAAAGAAAATCGCAAGGGGGTTAGAACAAAAAGTCACATTATTCGATAAAGAAACCATATAAAGCATTATACAACTTTAGAAAGGTCTCAAAATTCTTAGTTCTTTTCCCATATAACGCAACTTCGAATTTCTAACGGTGTTGCCTACAGGCGAGTTGCAGTTCAAAAATTCAAGAAAAATTGAAAAATCTGGAGAAAATTATGTGAACTTACTTGACGATTTATATATCATTTTATTCGTAATTTTATTCTGCATCTGTTATCTTATTATGCGAAAAAACTTTGAGAACCTTTGGTTAGATATAAAAAAGTTTGACAACTTCTGATCTAAGCCAAAACAGTTCCGTACAAAGTTTACAACCCATCATTAAACGTCCCTGTTATAACAATCCTTGCGTAGTCCTACCTTACCACACCACAGGTACCCACCTTGCGTTTATTATTACGTTTTCCCCAGGTCGTCATAGTATGTATTTATTTATTTATTCGTGTCCGTCATCTAGCGACGGGAATGCGAAAAGTTAAAGTAATAATGCGATATAGAATTTTATTCAAAAAGATCGTAGTGTATAGTAGTGTTAGTGTGGTAGAGGTGCATTATTCACATGCACGCGCCGTGTCGTCATAGTTAGTCAGGCAACTGGCCGAGTAGTTGTGTGGCTGGCACCGCCGTGGAGGGGCACAAGCAACCTGCCCACGTACATTGAGATGGAAGAACCGGGGTGATCGAAAGTCGATATATTTTTTTTTTAAAAAAAACTTTATTACTAATTATTTTTTCTTTTTATCTTACATACTACATATATTTTACTTTTGAAGTAAAACTTCTTTAGGCGCGACATAGGTTAGCAGTATAATTCGTGAGTTAATAAAAATGTCAGAATCGGAAGAATATTTTATCCTTGAAATGTTTATCATTGTAGTGCAAATGATCGCAAATAAATAATGAAACAAAGGAAATCTGCGCTGCATAAGAAATGATAGCTTTGGCTATGTATGTATGTTTTGTGTGTGATCGACTTTGGCTTCAAAGTGGCTTAGAAATATCAAATGATGCTCAAAAACAAATTCTTAATAATGTTTTCTGAATATTAATTCAAATAATCAGGTTGTATGTCAAACTTGTCGAAAGGCATTAAATTCGGGTAAAATTCCCACTTTGTGTAAATTTAACGGTTTTGTATTTCCACCTGTACCAAATTATCTACCTAAACTAGATACTGTATCTGAAAGGTTAATTTCACCTAGGTTGTGTTTCATGCAAATTAAACGATTGCGATATGCAAATGGACAATTTGGAATGTTTGGCCAAATTATAAATGTGCCTGTTGACATTAATAATATGGTTAATTTATTACCTCGTAATATTGATGATGATCATTGCATTTACGTTCACATAAAAAAGCAAATGATTCATAGATCAAGCTATGTGCAGGGCTTGATAAATAAAACAAATATAAAAGTATGGCTTCAATTTGTTAGGCAAGACGGATATTACAGCTGTTCAAGGAATGAGATTATATCGTCAGCGAAAAGGTAAAAAAATACAAACAGTAAATGAATGTATGTTAATTTTGATTGCATGAAGTTCTTCAAACACAATTGTTACAGGATGAGTTAATTTGCAAAAACAATATTTGTTTAGGCGTTGTTTAACATATACCACTGTGTGAATGAATATTATAGAATTTATTAATCAGCAATTACTTTAAAACGATCATGTCATATTTCAAGTAATTATACATATTTTTAATGTAATCATAAATATATAATTTATAATTTATCATTATATAAATGTGTATAATGATTGACGACACTAATAAATGTGCGCATCACCAGTGTTACGATATTACTAATAAACATTATTCAAAATTTTTATATGGTGTATTTATTTTTACTCAACTTAAATTTGCTACAATATAATTGCAAATAAGTTATACTTCAATCGCGTGTGATCCTTACGCGCGCTCTTTTTTCTTTACATATTTTAACTGTTTATTACAATTTTCTTTACGAATATTTCTTCCAGAGGCAGGTCCGTGGGTTGAGTTGAAAATGCACTCATTCATGGTTGCACGATGTCAGAGCCCTTACATTTTTCTGTTGTATAGGGATACAACTCGACTTCCTTTTTGTATTTCAAAGCGATACAATCTCAGTACCTCTTTACTTCCAAGTGGCATGTTGCCGCTACAGCTATGCCCACGAAAGGCCATTTTCACTTGAAATCATATTTGAAATCTTCAGATTTCAGGCGCACGGATCAACCGATTTGAATGATTCAAAAAACATTCGATTCTTATTAATATGGAGATTTGCTGATTAGTTTTTGGTAAAGGCAGATCCAGTCGTTACGGAGATAGGGAGTAAAGAGTGCAGAAAATGCAAATCGAGTTTTTGACAGGACGGAGTATCGGATTTGAATGATCTAAAAACCATTCAATTTGTAATGATTGGGAGAAGTGGTGATTAGTTTTTGACAAAGACAGGTCTCGCCATTTCGAAGATACAGAGGTAAATGTGAAAAAAAATTTTAGTGAACTAAGCGTCCGATTTGAATGATCTAAAAAACTTTCTGCTTATATTGACAAAACAATTGCTTTTGAGGATAAAAAATTATCACATCTTTTTTTATTTTTTATAAAATATTTTTGTAATTTTGGATTAAAAACTCAAAAAATTACCAAGGCTAAGCGCATAGTGAAAATGCCGCCAAGCTAAGCACAGTATAAGTGAAAATGCCGCACAAAATAATCTGCAAGTGCCCGTAGACTGTGAACATACGGGAGCACTTTTTCAATTTTGTGCAAATTAGGCTTAGAAATTGTTAATGTTCTGGAGATAAATTGATTTATGATTTACATTTGATTTGCTCACAATCATATATAACAAGATAGTAAAAATAATTAATGTTACAGTATTTGTAATAATATATTTGAAAACCGTTTAAAATTTCTCGAATATTTCATTATGGTACGGGAAGTTCCAGCAATTTGCCTTAAGGCACGATGGGATACACCACTAGTTTAATTTAATTTTAGCTGAAATTCTAGAGCTAACAAGTATGTCTGAAATAAATAATTTTATCTTTGCAATTCTGTTGATATAAAGCTTGGAAATATAAGATAATGTCCTTTAATTCTAATTTTGCTTGATTAAGTTTAGTTTATTTACTTTTCTAGTAAACATATATAGACATCGTCGTCCAATTAATAAGCTCTTATATTTTGTCTATAAAATACGAAAGATAAAAGTCACAGTATTTATAATAATATATTTGAAAACATTCAGTATTCCTCGAACATTTCGTTACGGTACGGTAAGTTCCAGCAATTTGCCTTAAGGCAAGATGCCATACACCTCTAGTTTAATTATAGTATGGAAAGTTTCACCAAATTGCCTTGAGGCACAATGCCATACACTACTGCTTACAAATTAAATTATAAAATTTAAAATTATAATTCAAATTATTATTTATATCGATCTACTCTCCACCCAACATCGACTTTCATCTGCCCACCCCTACTCCATACAAACCTGGCCTCCGTACTACACACAAGTGTCCGTGTCCACTAGTTTCGTCGACATTTTGAATCATGTAACACCGGAATCATGTCGTCGCCGTCTTCGTTTCTGTGATAAAGACAAACAATTAATATAAGTTTTTACATTTTTCCATTTCCATTTAGTTTGTAGAATAATCGTATTGAATTAAAACTATTAGACGACTGTTTAGTGATAATTTAGAGTGGATAAAAGTGTATTGTTAGTGTGAGTTTCATGTGTGCAAATTATTGTTATAATGAAGATTCGAATATGTGCCGTGGATTTGTTGACGCTGCTCGGAGCTGTTATAGGTTAGTAATAGTAATAGATAAATGTAATAGAAAATGGTTTATATTAGGTTTGTTTTGTGTATTTTAGTAATAAATAATTGTACTAGAAGTTGTTTTATGTTATGTGTATTTTGTGTTTTGTATATGGATATTTTCTGTTTTGACATTTATATTTAGCGTTATTTCTTTTCCCTCTTGTAACAACTTCACTCAAGTTTTGTTTTGACTAAACTCAAAATTATAAAGTTGACAGTTTTTACTACTATTTATTTTTATAATATATATTCTTGTACGGGTTTTTTAAAGCCAAATATTCGAATAAATACAAAAATTATTGTAATTAGTCGTTACATACGTTTTGACAACGTATGCGTGTCATCATTCAGCAAGTTGGCAACATCGAAAAACAAAATTTTGCGCGTTTATTAAAATTCAAAAATTATTAACAACTATCTTCATATATATATAAAAATGGAGGTCTCGATAAAATGATCCGCTAAAACTCGAAAACTGCTAAACCGATTCCACCAGTCTTAGTCTTGAAAATTCGTGTTTAATCAGTAGGTTGTCGGAAAAGTGAGATATTATATCAAAATCCCGTACAAACTTTACATTTTTAATTTGAAAATTTTTGTAGAAGCGCAATTTAAATAAAATAATAGACGTTGGCTAATACGTCAAATGTCAAACGTTTTTGACAGATGATGTTCAATTACTTTTAATAGGATGTTTTAGGTGAATATGATTTAATTATGATTAAATTGTAGTAAGTAGTTTTGTTTGTAGTTTCATTTACACATAAAACCATTAGCAAACGGGCCACAAATGTTACTAGAAACTCAATAGATCAACTTTTTTCAAATGTTAATATGAAAATGCACTTTTTGGCATATTTTTCTCAAACACGGTGCTCTGAAAAATATCATTTGTATAATTATATACTCATTGGTATTTATAAAACATTTTCTAAGTTATATTATTTTTTATTTATATTATTTAAAATCAGAACCTAAATTTGGTATCAATCAAAGGGACATTTTTTGTCGAATATCATTTTCCCAGTTATAATTACCCAGAATTTATCGAAAAATAGATAGTAATATATAGAGGTACTGGGTTAAAAAAGGTCCACCACCGATGTAAAGTCAAAAACCAGTAAAGTTAAGCATTGTTTAACAACAATATTTGAAAGTAGAGGGAAAAATATGTATAACTTGCTATAACCTTGATTCTTATGACTGCTATCGGGAGATAAACGGAAATTTGTCATAGATTCTAAAGGGTACGGAACCCTTTTGGTTTTTAAGGTCCATAAGTACAATATTTGTAAAGTGCTCGTTAAAACCTTCCATTTGATACCCAACATGAATTTTTGCCATATAAAAAATTTTGACCTTCTGTACTGTATTTAGTACGAAGGAATTCAAATCGACTTTGACTCGACTTGCTTGTGCATTTATTTCTTAAGTTTCGATTCTTTTTTCTAGAAATTTTGAGAGATATCTCAAATACTCATAATATAATTTGTAGTTTTTATTCGTTCTAGCTCGTCAGTATAGTTCATTCTTAACAGTATCATATTTATACTTCAGTTTTTCTAAAAGTAAAGTTCTTTCTTTTTGCTCGTCAGAAGTGTTCTCAGTTAGTTTTTACTGTAGATTATATTTGCTTGTCAGTAGGGTCTTTTAAGAAGAAAACATAAGACCGTTTCAAGTTACCCCGTCTATAGGGTAAAAATGTCTAGATAACAAATTTTTAAAAGACAGCAAAAAAGCACATTTCTACAATGATGAAGTAGCTGGCAGTTTTACTGAACGTAGTCAGATAATTGTTCATTTGAAATGTGTTATTTGTTGTGATATAATTGGTTTGATTTTTATAATATAGTTTATATTTTTGTTCAAAGTCAAATTGGACCTTTGTGCCTCGCCCTGCTCTACATATATACTTTTTATTAAATTTACTTTAATTTATCGAATGTTACTTGAAACTTTTCAAAAAGCAGGTCAAAGAAGAAATACTTAATTCATTTTCTATCTCTCCTCGCAGAAATTTGAAATTTTTTTATAAGCTCAGTAGTATTATTTTCATTTATAGACAAAATCCAGAATCCAAAAAGAGTCTGAAAAACTTGAAACGAAACCACTAAGTCGAATGACTAAAAAAGACTTGGATTGGATTATGCCTTGTTTTCAATGGAAAGTGTATAAAACTTCCAGACAAAATATAGACAAACTAAAATGGGGTTTATTGTTTTTATAATACCTCATTGTATATAGCATTCAGACAACACATCCTTATACACTTGAAGTATTAATTTCTTTGATTCTCTAGAAATTGTTTAGAATATACCTTACTCAGCAAAACAACGTTTGCCGGGTCAGCTAGTATATATATATATATATATGTATATATATATATATATGTATATACATATGTATATATATATATATATATATATATATATATATATATATATTGATTGTTTCTTTTCCGAACAGTAAATCCAATAATAAAAAACAATTTGTTTTTTGAAGATGTTTAATACGACGTTTCGGAACTAGGTACGTTCCGTCGTATTAAACATCTTCAAAAAACAAATTGTTTTTTATTATTGGATTTACTGTTCGGAAAAGAAACAATCAATATATTGAAAAAATCCAGGACTTATCTATTGAATATATATATATATATACATATATATATATATATATATATATATATATATATATATATATAATGTATATCGTTCGTGAGATCCAAAGCAAAATCCTCCTCAATAAATAATTAAGCATTGTGCATTGTCGTCACTCGTCACATTTTAATATGAATTTCGTATTTGTATTCCATGTCGGTTTTAATTTAATGACGTTGTAATGTTGTCATTGCAAATTTCACAAAAGACAACCTTCGAATCGATCGATTCCACTAAATAATAGCAATAAATCATCGATATATTATGTCGTTTATCGATTCATCCAGTAGAGAAAATAGAGGGAAAATACTGTAATTAAAAAAATTAAACTGTAACAGTTTTTTTTTTAATTTTTTTTTTATTTCTATAATACATTATTTTCATATCTCAGGCAGACAGAAGTGCCTGGTATGAGAGATTATGAAAACAGTTTTCATATTTTATATATACATTTCATTAATATAATATCTATTATAATTAAAATATCTATCTTTATATAACTCTTCAGTCTTTGTGTCTTCAATTTCCTTATAATATTTCTTTATTTTTGTTAATTTACAATAAGGTAAGTAATTTTTATTTTACATCTCATTTTCTATTTTATCGGAATTTCTGTTAATTACTTTCTATTTAAATAATTTTAGTATTTAAGTGTAAGTATATTTTTCTTCCAAAATGTTTTCTTTTCATTTTTAAATAAAACAGGACATATACCGACTGGCGCCAAAAATTTTTATTTTCTAAATAGTGAGATCATATTTCAGGAACCTTTCCTTTCAAATACACTTGTTTGGTATTTTTTTTTTCTTATTTTCAGTTTTAAGATTGTTTTGATGGGCTCAATATGCCCTCAGGTTCTTGTCTTTTTTTTTTCAGTACCCTTAAGAAATGGATGACCCTTGTCGTTTTTTGTAAATATTGTCTCAAATTAATATGAAATGATTTTATTCAATGAATAACTCAGGCACTTGAAGGGTCTCAAAAGGATCAACAAAATGAACTTTTGAACATTTTTTCCACAATTTTAACATTTCATGCATGTGCTGAATTATGTGCATTTTGAAATAAAAAAAATCCAAAAAAAATTATCATCATCCTTATGTGAATTCATGAAATTTCTAAAAATACTTGATGCATTTTTTTAGAATTTACTCGAGATTGTATGTGGCTTAAGAGGCTAAATCTCGTCCTTGCATATATGATTTTAGACTATTTTTAATTTAGTCTTATTCAAATTGATACAAAATTTTTCTATAATTTGACTCGCCTTAACGTATTTTCTTTATTTACAAACTATGTTTTCGAGACACTTTTTTACAATTTTCCAAATAACTGTAAAACTTTATTCGGGGCACTCTTTTTTAGTTAACTTAGCAGAAACTAGATAAAATTTACTAAAGTTACTTATAAACTTTCTCATACACTTTGATACAAAAAAATTGTATAATTTGACTCGCCTTAAAGTATTTTCCATAATTTCAATGCATGGATTCGGGACACTTTTTTACATTTTGTTAAATAACTAAAAAACTTTGTTCGGTGCACTATTTTTTAGTTAGCTTACCAGAAACTAGATAAAATTTACTAAAAATTCGTATAAACTGTCTTATACACTTTGATACAAAATTTTTGTATAATTTGAACTCGCCCTAATGTATTTTTAGTATTATAGTAATAACATATAACTTTGTCAACTTTTGTTAATAGCAACCCAAATAGTTGTCCTGTCCCTATGTGATAAATTTTATTATTTTATTGTTATCATTTACTTCAAAAATTTTTTTCATCTATATTTACAAGTCGTATATAATTTTGATCGGCAATAAATCTATGCAAATAAAAAAAAAATTACAAGTCAAAACTGATGTCTCTTCTGCTTGACATCAAGTTGGCCCCGATTCTAGGACCTCTGATACAAATCCCATAGCTCTAACCACTCACCCAGGGACATGGCAAAAATCCAATTTGACTGTGTCTTTTTAATTTCTTCAGCCAATTTCGATTCGTCACGTTTCGGTCACGAAGTCACGCTTATCCGTAAATCTTTTTATTTGTGAAAACAATTTCGTTACGACCTATTACAGTTATTTTTCGTTGACTTCTTCGACCAAAAGCAAGAAAAAAAATAACCGTTTTAATAATAGTTCAATTCATTCAATTCATTTCGTACAAATGTAGAATCGTGTCGAAGCAATTATTCGAAATATCGATGATTGTCAATCGATATAAAAAAGAAAAGGAATTATTATTTGCGGGATTTATTATTATTTATTAATAGACCGTAGAAAATTTAAGCAAAGACGTCATGATAAAAGTCTTATTAATA